AAACCAAAATACTGAAATTTTATGCAGTACAATTCTTGTTTTCCATTTGGCCCTATGCAGAACTTCAATCCAATTCCCAATCTAATGGTAATATCAGCAGTGAGGGCTCTCTTCCAAGCCACACATGTTTTTTTTTAAAAAATGTTCACATCTATTTAGTTGAACATTTTTTTCCTATTTATACCCATTACTGAAAAGAATTCATAATACAACCCCAGAATATATATAGTTAAAAGGAACTTGACACATACCTATAGTCACCAGGATGAAAGTTTGGTAACATTTTAAGTTAGTAATATTCTCAAGTGGTCCCTCTTCCTATGGTTATTGGTGAAATTCTGATACAAAGAATTAATAGGCCAAAATGCAAGAACATTTCTTCATAAAGATATTTCTCATATTTTATAGTACCCTCAGGAATCAGAATACATCACTGTTTGAGGAGAAAATGTAATTACTGACCCAGTAGGAAGATGCAGCCAAGAAAGCAAACTCCAGTGCAACCTTGACACTAAATCAGGTACAGAGTAATGACAAACCAACACAGGGGATGACGTATTTTTAAATAAATGTTGATTGCCGCTTTTGTAGCAGTACTATCAATACAAGCCACAATAAAGACAGCATTTAGTAAGTCAGATGAATTCTAGGACTGCAGCTTGGGACTAGGCATTTTAATTTTTTCTGGAATCTTCACTGTAAAATAGGCCCCTTGTTCCAAAACATGAATGAATGTCTGTACTTTCAAATTTGAAAGGCACTATACACATGCTTTAGGTCTTTAGGTTACACTTTAAAGCAGAGTATGATAATACAGTTACCAGGTACATCTAGCACAATTTATGCCAACATTGCTTCAAGAGTATTCTCTCCTCCAGAAGAGAAATTCAAATTAAGTAGGTCTTCTTTGGGGGGGGCGGGTTTAAAAGACCACACATTTTTTCCCGTATCACAAAAAAGTTTCCCTTTTCCTGAATGTGTTTAGCCTTCAATATGTATTATTCATCATTAAAATGTATTACATAATTCAACATATTCCTGCTCCTACCACATGATCATTTTGTAGAGTCCTTCATTAATCGCAGGCGTTAACACGTCAATTGACAGCCCTAATTGATTTCAATAATATAAAGGTTGCACTGCTCACATTATTTTTTAGTTACAAATATTTGCATTGCAAGTCTACTCAGTCCTTGTTCAGCTAAGGAGAGAAACGAGTTTAGTTACAAATTGTAGGAGATAATGCTGCCTGCTTATTTATAGCATCACCTGAAAAGTGAGAACAGACATTCAGATGGTACTGTATTAGCTGGCCTTGCAAAATATGAATCTTAGCGCATCTGGCACTTAAATATGTCCCATCAAGCTTCAACCACCATTCTATAGGGGACATGTCCACGCTGATGACAGGCTCTGCTCGATAATGATCCAAAGCACTGTGGACCGATGAATATTACTTTTTTGTCATCTGAATCAGATGCTACCAGCAGAAGATTCATTTCCTTTTTGCTGTTTCCAATTCTGTAGTTCCCACATCAGAGTGTTGCTCTTAAGACTTCTGAAAGGATGTGCTACGCGTTTGTCCCTCTCAAATTTTGGAAAGCACTTTAGATTGTGTCACCTTGGATTGAGTGCTAGCTATCGTTTAGAAGTCTCACACTGGTGCCTTTTGTATTTTGTGAAATCTGCAGTAAAACTATTCTTAAAACATGTGCTGAGTCATTATCTGAGACCAATATAACATGAAACATATGGAAGAATACTGGTAACAAAAGCTGGATATGTACATGTTCTCTCTCCAAGTAGTTCAGTCAAATTAATTGACAATTTTTTGAAGTGAGTGTCATCAGCATGGAAGCATGTCCTCTGGAATGGTGGCCAAAGCATGAAGATGCATAGAAATATTTAGCATATCTGGAATGTACATGCTATGCTGTGCCACCTACAGAAGTACCTGTGAAGGCCCCTTGTCACTTTTTTAGCAACATTGTAAATATGGAAGTGGACGATATGGAAGTGGACGATATCTCCCATAAATGTAAACAAACTTGTGCAGCCCATCACTAAGACACAAGAAGTAGGACTGAGTGGACTTGAAAGCTCTGAAGTTTTATATTTCATTTAAAAAGGGGGTTTGTACATAATTCTACATTTTAAGTTCAACTTTGATGATGAGATTGAACTATAGTACTTGCATTAGATGAATTAAAATACTATTTTTTGGTTACCAAGCAAATATCTGAAACCAAAAGTAAAGTAAGCAACGTACACTTTGCATTGTGTTATAAATGAAATGCATTTGAAAATGTAGAAAACATTCACAGATATTTAATGAGGTATTAATAGTGTGATTAAAACATTAATCATGTGACAAATTTTGCAGAGATACTACAGTTATTTAAGTTAGGAAATCAGGATTGGTTATATCTCGAAATCTGTTTCCCCAGAGCCCCAATTACGCCCACTGATAATTCCGACAGATCTCCAAAACGGTAAGAGCTAGAAACACCAAATTTTGAACAGATACTACTGATTTCTTAACTTCAGTAACTGCATTGGCTATATCTCAAAATCAGTTCCCCCGGTTCCCCCAGAGTCCCAACTGGGCCCTCTGATAATTAGCTTTTAGTAGCACCTGATCATAGACATTTGTTGGACTCTTCTGTTAAGCACGTCACAAACTGCAACTATGAGATCCTAGAGGATAAAGCATGTGGACACCTGCAGCACCATCAAGGGAAAGCCCATGGAGGAGAGGCTACAGTGAAGCAAAGAATCAGAAACCTCCCCTATACTAGTGCACCAGCTGGTCTCCAAGACAGACCCAAATATGGCTAATGCTGGCTGTGGTCTAGCCTTGCTAATTGTGGCTGAGAGAAGCCTCCAGCTATCACAGCCTCTCAACATCTTCACGCAGCTGGGCTCCGACTGAACCCCTTCTGGAAACTAAAGTTGCTTCCCTCCCCACACACCCAAACAAGCCATCCCATCACTCGCCCTCCTTTGGGCTGCATGCATTCTCCTAGCAGGGCTGTGTGCATTATCAGCAAGTGCCATGGGCATTATGCACTTTGCAGGATTCAGCTCACAGTACAAAGAGGAGGTGAATAGGAGGAGAAGGTTTTGAGCACAGTGGACTTTGAGGAGGACACAGTACACTCAGAACAGCCTTCTCTCATTAGTATAGGTATGTTCAGGTGCTGCATGTTCTGATCATCTAGATATCACTAACTGCATCTGGTCTGAAGGCATTTCACTTTGTCTTACAGTTTCTTGCCACTTTAACCAGAAAGGACACTCTCTAAATGACTTAGCCACCTGCATTCTGCTACAAAGACCTTTTACATCTGCACTTGAAAGGGAATCCTCTGAACTGTCATTCATGTTAAAATTCGACACTTACCACCAGGGACTTAACAAGTCTTTGAACTTTCTCACCCATTATCAAGACAGTTTCCCCAATTATCACCTGTAATACCATTAACTCACAAACATCCCACTCTCCCTACCTCTAATATCATCAATTCACAGACACTTACCTTCCTTCCTCCCCCTTCCCACCCCCCCGCCTCCTCCTTCTGTTCTGCAATGTGATTTGTCCTTTTCATATTTGTTCTTTTTTTTAATTGTATCCTTTGGTATATATGGTTGTGACTACTTTCTTCCACTATTTGATCTGAGGAAGTGGGTCTGGCCCACGAAAGCTCATCATCTAATAAACCATCTTGTTAGTCTTTAAAGTGCTACATTGTCCTGCATTTTGCTTCAACTACCCCAGACTAACACGGCTACATTTCTATCACTATGGGATTTATCATTTTGTAAGCACATCACTAGCTATGTTTACTTTTCTCTGATATATTACTTTTAAGAAATTTTTTCAATAAAATATACTATGTTAATGTAACTGACATAGTTCATTCATCACACCTTTTACACCAGGTATTTCTGCTAGTATCCTCTATTACAAATAATGTTTTATTTAGAATGGGAAGATTGCAGAGATGGGTTCAACACTTTCTAGAAAAAAATAGTTTAAAAGCCACAGAAAACCACATTTTTGAAGTGAATTGGAAGTTACTCTAATCTGGTTTTCTTCCTTTTGTTTTGCTTAGGCTAATTACCTGTATGTTCCATTAAGCTCATTTACTAGTGTGAATATAGTCCTCATGCAGTGTCTGAACAATGAATGGTCTTACCTACCGTAAGTATTACAATATAAAAAGAAAATTGCACTGAGTTAGGTACAGTAGCAATACCTTTCATTAATGTCTATTAACCATAGTGTAAACCGCGTAGTATATGTCTGCATGCCAAAACACATTAGCCAAGTTTTAAGCATTGATTTATTTAAATGTATTAAAAGCTTTTATTGTAGACAGAATATGAAAACTCATGCTGAGTTATAACTAGGGATGTTAAATTTCAATTAATTGACTAAATCAAATAGTCAGTGGAATCTCATTGACTATCTGATTAGTTGATAAAAACTACCCCATTACACGTTTCAAATGTACAAGAGCCCCAGTAGGGGCGCTAGTGCATTTCAAAGATTTAAATGCTTTATGGAGCCCAGAGCCAGCGAGGCATCCCACTGACCCTGGGGTCCATGTGGGCACTTACGCTTTGAAATGTACAAAAGCCCCAGTGGGGACTCTTCTACATTTCCAAGTTGGTGGCCACTGTGCTCCTGCCCCCTCCCATGGAGCTGGGGGAAACCAGCTTTTAAGCTGGCTCCTTCCATTACCCCCTGTTTTTCTCCCTCCTTGCTGCCTCTTTGTGATAGAAGCAGCAGGAGAGAGGTGGGGAGGGAAGTGACTAGTCGACTATCCAAAAAGCAAAAGTTTACCAGATAGTTGACGCTAGTTGACTAGCTGCTTACATCACTAATTATAGTGTCCTAAAAATCTTACAATACAATACTTTTATTGGAAAGTATAAATGCATAATCCAGACTCGAAGAAAATCCTAATTTTAGAAATTGTTTCAAAAATACTCACTGTAATATCCATATAGTACTGTGTCCTCAATTTGTCTTGTAACATTAGCATCAGCCCACTCCTAGTAAGATTGAAGAGAAAAATTATGCAATACTTATTTCACAACAGCTATTCTTGCAATCTATATAGAACATTTTTTAGTTTGCAAATAAGTTCCTATTGTCAAACGTTTAAACTAGGAAACATGAGATTTTGTTCTTGGTGGTTTACATGAAGTTAGTCAATTTTTCTTCCAGAAGTGTATGAATTAAGACTCAGACGTATCATTCTGAATAAAAACAGCATGGGTGTGGTAAAAAGGCTGTGTAATTATTCTTAATTACTGAAGCACTGATATTAATAACTAGGAGGTTGTATTTGTTTTGATCATTCAGTTTCATAATATTTAAATGCAAGAATGTCATCTATAATAGCCAGCATGGAACAACTCTTGGATCAAAATTAAAGAAAAATATCAATAAAACAAGTTATTTATGATTGAAAACTTAATAAAGAGCATTTCAATAGATCTGATAGTTATTACCATAGTATACTTGCACTATTACCATACAAATATGACAAGTAATTTTGGAAGAAATACATATGAACAGACAGACCCCACTGCACTGGCTACTAGGGTTTATTATTGTTCAGTCTTGAGAGAGTATGTCCAAATGAGGTATGTACATTAAAAAAAAAAAAACTTTCCAAATAAGATGCTGAATATATAAATAATAGGTCAGGGATTTTCTTACTGGGGATCATGACTCCTCTGGGGATGCAAGCTGAAAGCCTCCACCTCCAAACCAAGCTTTGCCTCCAGCACTTAAATGGTGTTAAATATTTTTTAATTGATAAGTGGGGATCATTCCATAGGCTGGATGTGTGAAAGGGATCACCACCAGTACAGGCATTTGAGAAGCACTGTATTAGGTGGATTCAAAGCCTGCTTAAGAAGTCATAGTAGGTTGATCATGTAGGCAGGTATATGCTAACTTCTTACATTCCAACCTGGCCTACACGCCATAGTTAGGTCAATGTAAGGCAGCTCTCAGACCAAATTATGTAAGTGGGTACACTACAGCCTTGTACCATTAGTGTCCTGCTACACTGACATAACTTTACCTCCATGAGAAACACTTATGTTGGTGTAGTTATGGTGAACTGGTGTCTGTATGGACACAGAGTTATTCACATTGGCTGTCTTGTCAATTTCATGCTTCATGCCGGATCCATAAAAGAGACAAAGAAGCTATGCTGCTTGAGCACAGTTGTCTCAGGCTCCCCGCTTAGCTGCTGCCTGTATGCTCCCCACTCAGGGAACCATGAAGCCCAAATGGGTGCTACCCCTGCATCTACAACTGGGAGCAGGGAGGCAAAACACAGGGGAGCTGTAAGCCCCACACCACCCTCTTGAATCTGTGGTAGTGCTCCTGATAGGGTCTATTTGGTATGGAGCTTCCTTTTATCATAACTTAAAGCAAGGCAAAGGTTAGGTTGTGCCAGGAAAATGGGCTGTGTCTAGAAAGGCACGGTCTCAGAAAACCATACAGGAAAAAAAGAGACAGAATCACCAGGCAGGTAAAGGGGGCTGGTTGAGAGTGCATTACACCCTATGCCATGACTACTCCCAGAGCCTCAATTTCCCCAAGCACACTTTAAGAAAGGCAAAATGGGCTGAAGCACTCCCCTTCCCACGAGTCATATGGGAACACTGCTGGCTGCTTCACTTCATCAGGGAGCAAGGGGAAATGTACAACTTGCTGCATTCCTAACTCCGTCCAGGTTCATCTGCTCCCTGTGCTCCCCAGACATACATCTTGCCCCAACTGTGCCTGCTGGAGCAGCAAAGGCCATAAAAACAGCCATACTGGGTCAGACCAAAAGGTCCATCTCCATGAGAAGCCATGGAGATATGCTTCTCATCTGGCCCCAAGCTGCTGCAGTGAAAGACAACTCAGGTTGTCCTCTCCACCCAGGGCAGCCTGCATACTGAACCCCTCATCCTCAGCTGCACCCTACAGCAATGAAGCATTTTTTTTTAAAGTACATAATTGAGTTTAGGACCCAAGTAAATCTAGTAGGTTTTTTAAAATAATTAAGAGTGTCTGTGTATTAGTCTCTCTTGGCCCAGAGATGACATACAGACTAACTTGGCTACCCCTCTGAAGATTAAGTAACAGGAAAAACTTAAATAGACTAGTAGCACCTTAAAGACTAACAAAACATGGAGATGGTATCATGAGCTTTCATGGGCACAGCCCACTTCTTCAGATGACAGGAATGCTAGAAGTCCAGATACAAAAAATAAATAAGGGAAGGGGAAAGGGAGAAGAGGAGAAGGAAAAAAAAAAGAAAAAAAGGGGGAGGAGAGGAAGAAGAAAGACAATGAGTAGATAAGCTTCAGAGGGGTAGCCGAGTTAGTAACAGGAAAAAAAACAAATAGTGTACTCCAGCAACTTAAACTGCTCTCCAAGTGCAAGTCTATTCCTGACACCTATTTGTCAAATAAACATCTATTCCATATTGTATACCCTTTATGAATCATCAAGTTCACAGTAAGACAAAAAGTTTGTGAAGTTCATTGCCTCACAATCATAACCAAGTTTGGAGCAGGATCTAATTACCCATTATATTTCTATCCATTCTCTTCCCAAGATGGAAGAAAATAAGAAACTTTCACATATGCTGCAAAGCTTAGCAGATATGGGTTCTGGAAGATTAAGAAGAGCACATTCCTATGTTAAGTGCTTCTCAGGGAGGCAATAAAATGGAGAATTTAGGTGGAAAAAGATTTAGCTTATGCTCAACCCACGCAACAGTAGCCATTTCTAAGCAACACTTCAGAGACAGGATTTTGGAACAGATTTATATGAAGGGAATAAGGAAATAATTTTGACAGAAGAGTTCTCATACATGGTTGAGGGGTTCCCCCCCCCATAGCAAGTATTAAAAATGAATGCAGTCCTTTTAATTATATAGGCTTCATGGGAGATGGTGTTAACTTAAACATATGGTCACAGTGAAACTTCTTTGCTCTGAAAAAAGGTCTTGTCAAAAGTAATATTTCATATTGTCTTTAGACATACAGTCATAGGGACACAATAGCAAGCAGCTCATTAGCCTGGCATTGATTTAGCCACAAAGCACTACTCTTAGCCATCAGTTAAAGCTATTGAAAAACCCTGAACAGTGATGCCAGGAATTAAGACGACTGCAACAGAATTGCATGCCACTTTTTTTCAAAAAGAGACAAAGTAGAGTTTGATATCTGTGTACCAAGTAAACTTCATATGTAGCAGTTGCTAAAGAGGAGCAACAGGAACAGCAGCAGCCACATGAAATGTACCAACAGCAGGAGGCAACAGAAAGTTTGCTTTGTCAATTGTTAATTATTTTTAAAATGCAAGTTACATACAGGAAGAAAAGTATGTAGGGAATATTATATGAATAGTAAAAGTTTTTGATTGCTAATAAATGTGTGTATTATTTCCATTTCCTTGAAAATTTCTTTGTTCTAGGATTAGGGCCCTACCCAATTCACGGTCCATTTTGGTCATTTTCAGTCAATTTTAAAGATATCCTCAATTTCACATTTCAGATATTTAAATCTGAAATCTCATAGTGCTGAACTGTAGCAGTCTGGAGAGCAGTAACTGCTGGCCAAGAATCTAGCTCTGAAGTCAGAACATCCACCAACAGCAGCGCAGAAATAAGGACTAGTTTATCTAAACCAAAAATTATTAAACCAATGATATGACACGGTACAGTTTGAGCTGCTAATTCCAGGGGGGGGGAAAAGCCAGTTTTACAATAAAATGATACTTAAGTGACAAAGAGTCCGACACTTTGAACTGGTTTAAGTTTTATGACAGACTTACAGTATTATATGAAAATCTGCTTTTCATATAATCAAACCATAACTTCAGATGCTGTAACACCACACTTTTGCACATTTTGTTGTAGACTTTAGAAGATGCATAGTGTGACTAAACTGACAGGAACAGAAACATGCAGAATGAGGAAGTAGTTTCCCGATTCAAGTTAGAGGCTACAGGAACACGCTTGAAGAAGATGCAAAGCAGAAGAAAAGTTTGTTGATTCTTAATAAAAATAAAAATCCATATGCTCAAAGGTGGAAGATTTTTCACATTGACAAGAAAAATCTTAAGGTTCATCCAGTTTAAAATCTGAACATTACGCATTGTATCTGATTCACCAAGAAACAGTAGCATGGATGCAAATAATCCACCCTTTAAGCGTGTAAAGCGTCTGACTTAACCTTCAATCTGATTGTTCCTAATGCATGCAAGTGCATGTGTTTGAGATTAAACACAAATGTGTGGACAGCCATGGTAAGGCAATGTACATAAGCAATCTTTGTAGCAGCAGGGAAGTGATTTAAGTCACAATTAAAACTGTCAATTAAAAAGTAAATTACGAAATCAGCAAGCAAAAAGATAGGATTAAAATAAAACTATTTTTTAATTTAAGAATAAAACTTTAAAATGTTTCTTGATACATTTGTGCAGTTGTAGCAGTTGTAGCACCATCAAGATAACGTTTCTTACATCAATGGAAGGAACTTGTGTAAGTTTTACTGAATTCTTCCATCAACCTAACCACATCTATCAATGGTTAGTTCAATTTAACAATGACACCCATGGAAGATAAGTTTCACAGGGTAGACAAAATTTTCAGGGTAGGCAAATTGATCTAATGTTTAAGTGTAGAGCAGACCTTGGGATTCAGAGCTCATTAGAACAGATGCATCTTGTTCTGTTCTTTGGGTATATTTATAACCTTATATAAAGATGACAAGATAGTTCATACTATAAATATTTTCTGTATTTTAGAAGTCTCTCCTCATTTCTGTTAATGCAGGATTAAATGAACAACTCCCCCCCCCCCCCAAAATAATTCTTGTATATGTTATAAAAGAGTTTTCAATATTCATATTTTATGAGAGAACAGCAGGTTTACATTACCAGGTTATGAGGATAAAGTCTATTTTAGGAATAAATGACAAGGCCCATTAGTTTGTAATACTAATGGTTCTTTCAAGACAAAAAATTCCAGCAATGAAACATAATTGCTAAAACATTAGTTCTATAGTTTAATAACTCAGAATGAAGAGATAATGAAAAGGGAGAGGAGAAAACATATGATAAAACAATTATGGGACCAGATATTGGCATTCAATAAGATTTGCAAGTAGACCATACCTTAAATGTGCCATTTTGATTTTTCATATATGAAACCAGAAAAATGTCCACTGGCAGAAGTGCTGATGTGATAAGTGCAATTGCCAATGCAAAAATAGCTGTTATGGTAGAAATTACTTCACTTTCTCGACGACTCTGGTATTTGCGCACATAAACCCAGCAGAAAGCCAGAATAGCCTGAAATACAAAAGAGAATTAACTGAGCAAAAATATCAAATATCATTCAAGTTAAAATGTATTTCTACTCTGTATAGATACTTGATTGCTCTCATCATGACAGCATCTTCTGGCTATGTATTAAACATGATTAACATCTGGTACAGGTTGGATTTCCCTCTTTGAAATGCAAAAAAATATGGCACACACCACACCCACAATCACAAAGCAACCTCTACTACCCCCCTTCAACAGCCATGTATAGTATTTATGGTAGTAAGATTGATAACATCTCATATCTCACTCTTGCATTACTGAGATCCTCTCACACACATACACTCACCATGTGATTGTATACTGGTGGGCAGACAGATGCTGTATTTTCAACAGTATTTAGTAGTGATCTATTATTTAAACTGCAGGAGGAACACTATCTTTAACTAGAAACATTAACCTGCGGAATTTGCATTTACTCTTTCGATACTCTAGAATAGTCTAGGTGAGCCCTTCCATCCTATTCAGATTCATGAAAAAAAAACAAATTAAAATTGTTTTTCTGGCAAGTGGCAAATTCATAAAAGTCATCAGCCAAGACAATCAAATGCTAACAACCTGGTAACAATGGCTAGTTTTTTCTCTCTACTTCAAAGGAGGGCAGCCTAATAACATGGCTACCGTTCACTCTATTATTTCAAGTGTCAAAGGCCTGTGTGGCAGGACCTAGGAGTCAAAACCCGACTGATAAACGGATGGCCAATATGGTTCCAGTTTCTCCTTTAAAAAAAAGGTATGAAATTACACCCAAGACAAGCAACAGTAGGATAAGCTAAGTCAGGCATTCAGAAATTAGGATGTGCTGGAACTAGGACTACTGTCAAACCTCAAGACAGTGCCTTATGGTATGGTCTGCAACTACACTACCTCAGGCTGCTTTTCAGGCTGATCCTGCATCACTCCTGAAAGCAGCTGGCATGTACAGCAATGGCTCCATGGTGCCATGTGCAGCCCCTCATATACAAGCACTGAGCCCACAGCTTCTACTGGGCACAGTTTCCCATTATTGAGCAATGGGAGCAGCAGGAGTGGTGTCTACAGGCAAGGAGAACATGTGGAGACCCCCTGCTCCACCTCTCTCAGGAGCTGCAGGGACATGCCAGCCACTTCCAGGAGCAGCAATTACTATGTGGATAATTACTCCAGCCACATCAGGTTAGTCATTTTTGGAACTCACTAATCAAATAATTAAATTTAAGCATAAGAGAGAAATGAAAATTACGAAATGCACAGACCAGTCAGAAACCAAAAACAACACACTTCACAGGCAGTAACAGAAGTAACCACCACCACCTACATTTCTGTTATGTCAGGAGATGGGAGCGAAGGACAGTGTGTGTTTGTCAGGCTGAGATTTGCCTTGCCAAGCTCTCTCCATCTCCTTCTGTGTGGAAGTAGGTTCAGAAGTGGGGGCAGACACCCTGACATCAGCACCCCCTTCATCCCTCCCACACCCTGCACAGCAAACAGGAGCAGTATGAGAGCTTCCTGGCCAAACCAGGTAGGATCAACTGTCAGAGGCTCCAAGATCTAGGGGTAGATCCTGATCTATTGCTGGTAGGTGGCCACTGCTCGACCAGCTATCCCGAGACTCCAGGAAGAGAGGTGTAGGAGCCCAGCCTGTAGCCGCAGACGCGAAGGGGATGTGCACCGCCTCCGTTACCCCCATGGGGGAGGGGCCGACACCCCGTTAGTTACCCCACAAGCAGCAAGGAGGGAAGAGACTGGGGGAGTCCATTAGCCCGGACACTACACAGCCCCCGAGCAGGGCGGAGGCGGGGAGCGCTCGGCCCTTTGCCCCAGAGACTGCACGGAGGGGGGGGAGGGGAGGGAGGAGCCGCACGGAGCCTCGGCCGGACAGCCCGGGGAATGGCTCCAATGGAGCCGCGCCGCCTCCGCCTACCAGCAGCGAAAGGCCGAAGAGGCACCAGCCCGTGAGCAGCTCCGAAGAGGCCGCCGCCATCTTCACTTCCGGCAACAGCGCCAACACCGCCCAACGCGGGGAGGAGCTATTTAAAGGGGCGGGGCTCGGCCAGTTACTATGGAAACCGCTAAACACCCTCAAGGCGCATGGCTGCGAGGTGCACGTCACTGCGGCAGCTGCCAATGAGGAGAGGGGGCTCCGGCGCCGCGTTCTTCGGCTCTCGAAGCGGGAAGCACGTCGGGCTCTGGGTGATCCCCGCCCGGCCCCAGCTCCGCGGCGGGCGGGGCTCCCGGCTGCGGCTCAGGGCCCGGGTCGTGGTGCCGCGCGTCCGGATTTCGGCGAGAGGGTCCGGACATAAAGGGCGCAGCGGGGCCCAGGGCTGACGCAGGCTCCCTGCCTGCCCTAGCGCCGTGTGGCTCCCAAAAGTGACCAGCAGGGCCCTGCGGCCTCAGGGTTCAGGGGTGGCCCGGGAGGCTCCGTGTCCTGCTTCTGCCCCTAGTGCCGTCTCTGCAGCTCCCATTGGCTGAGAACTGCAACCAGTGGGGGATGCGGGAGCGATACCTGCAGGCGTGAGGGCAGCACTCAGAGCCTCCTCCGGGCTACCCGTGCACCTACGGGATACAAGGAGCTGGCGGGAGCTTACTGAGAGCCGTACTAAGTGTCACCAGGACCTTGCACCCTGCACCCTTAACCCACGCATGAACCCCAATCTGCTGCCCCAGCCCAAAGTCTTAACATCCCTTCTGGAGCCTGCCCCCCCCCCCCACATACATACCTGCAACACCCTTGCCCCAGCTTGCAGCCCTCTCCTAACCCTGAACTGTTGGTTACTGGCCCCAGCTAGGATCTACACCCCCTCACCTGTTACCTGTAAGCTGTGTGCTTGTGCAGCCGCTCAGATGAGATTCTAATGCCACCCAGCTGATTAGCAGAGCAACATATAGGTTTCTCCTGGTCAGATGTGAGTGGTGACAAGAGATGGAGGACATTGGCAATGGCGTGCCCCTTCCCCCCCTGCCCGCAACCCAGGGAGTGGCCAGGACAACCCCTTCTGCCTCAATCCCCACCTTTCCCCACCCCTGCTCTGCCTTCACCCTTGCTCTGCACTTGCTTCACCAAACTCTGCCTCTTGCCACAGCTGAGGCAGCCTAGGGGACTAATGGGGTTATGGAACTTGTGTCAGCAGCAGGAGTCTGCACTGCCTCTCCCCTGCAGTCACCAACACCAGCTTTCTTGAAGTCCACGGTCTTTATTTTGCTGTTCTTTCTACTATTTTTTAGAATTATGAACTGTACTATTTCATTATTACTTTCACTCAGGCTGCCTTCCACTTTCAAATTCTCACACAGATCCTCCCTATTTGTGAAAATCAAATCTAGAAGAGCCTCTTCCCTAGTAACTTTGTCTACCTTTTGTTACAAAAAATGTCTCTAATACATTCCAAGAACTTGTTGGATAATCCATGCCCTACCATTTTATTTTCCCAACAGATGTCTGGGTAGTTGAAGCCCCCCATCACCACCAGGATCTGTGCTTTGGATGATTTTGTTCTTTAAAAAAATCTTCATCCACCTCTTCCTGGTTACATGTTCTATAGTAGACCCCTGCCATGATATCACTTTTGGTTTGTATCCCTTTTATCTTTGCCCAAAGACTTTCAACAAGCCTGTCCCTTTTTTCCATCTCAGCCTCAGTCTAATGGTGTGTTTACACTGCACTGTTTTTCTGGAATAATGGCTGTTATTCCGGAAAAACAATACTAGCATCCACACAGCAATTGCGTTATCTTGAAAGAAAATTGAAATAATGGAGGGCTTTTTCCGATGTTGGTAAACCCCATTCCACAAGGAATAACACCTCTTCTGAAAAAACTTTTTCATGTGGACGTTCTACTGCTGCTATGTCAAAATAGTTCCTCACCGGGGCCATTCTAAAGTTATTCCTCATCAGTGCCTCCTGGGGCTCTAAATCGAGATAATGCATCCACATTAAGGCAACCTGCTTCGACCTAATTTTGAGGCTTCCCAGTAGGGTGGACACTCTATTTCAAACTAAGCTTTTCCAGAAGATATCTTCCGGAATAGCTTATTCTGAAAGAAGCTTGCAGCGTAGATGTACCCTACGGCTACGTCGAGACTGGCATGATTTTCCACAAATGCTTTTAACTGAAATTAAAAGCATTTGCGGAAAAGAGCGTCTAGATTGGCACGGACGCTTTTCCGCAAAAGCACTTTTTGTGGAAAAGCGTCCATGCCAATCTAGATGCTCTTTTCCGCAAGAAAGCCCCGATCGCCATTTTTGCCATCAAGGCTTTTTTGCGCAAAACAGCTTTTAGCTGTCTACACTGGCCCTCTTGCGCAAAAACATTTCCGGAAAAGGGCTTTTGCCCGAACGGGAACGTCAAAGCATTTACGCAAGTAGATTTCGGACAGTAGAACGTCAGTGCTTTTTGCGCAAAATCAAGCGGCCAGTCTAGACGAAGCCTAAGTGTATACTCTTTTTAGTATATAAGGCAACACCTCCTCTCTTTTTTCCCTGCCTGTCCTTCCTGAGCCTAAATATTCCTATACCAATATTTCAATCATTCCTATTATTCCACCAAGTCTCAGTGAGATTGAAGTCGTTTTATTCCTCATGCCATTTGCATTAGTATGCATATGTCTAAGATACTGATTTGAATCCCTCCCCCAGGTTTGCCTTGTTGCTCCTTTATACAGTGCATGCTCCCCCCAATTTCTGACTCTTCTCCCAGGTCTTCATGATTTTGACTTACATTTGGGCTTTGGTCACCTCATTCCTTCAACCAAGCAGTAGCTACACTTCAAAGGCAAAGGTGCCCTATCAACTAATCAAATAGTCGATGCAAAATGCATTGACTGTTTGATTAGTCAGTCACCCAGTATTTAACATCCCTACTTGGAACAGGATCCCATAGTCAGGGAAACCAAAGCCCTCTTGGCAATACCATCTTCGCAGTCAGGCATTCACCTCCGGGATGCATCTGTCTCTGCCTGGCCTCTACTCTTGACCAGAAGATCAAAAAGAACACCACTGAGCTCAGAACTTCTTCACCAATAGTCCCAGAACCCTGTAGTCACTTCCAATCTGCTGAATGTCATACTTTACAGTATCATTTATGCCCATGTGGATGATTATCATGGGGTAATAGAGGACCAGATGATCCTCAACAATTCCTTTGTATTGTCTCAGATATGGACCCTGGCAGACAACATACCTCCCAGGATGCCATGACAAGGGGACAGATGGATGCCTTTGTTCCCCTCAGAAGGTCTCCAACTACCACTACCCTATGTTTCCTCCTGAGAGTGCTGGCTGCAAACCTCCTAGTCTTCAGAGTACATGGCTTCTCCTCCACCACCTTAGGGAGCCATGCTTCACCTCTCTTTGCCAAGGTAGCATAATGGTTCTCCACCATTTGTTGTGTGAGTTGAGACTAGGGGTGGTGCACTGCCTGCTGCCACAAGTAATCAGCGGCCAGAGTCCTCCCTATGACAAATCCTCCCCCAGTGCTATGACAGCAGTCCTTCGTAGCTGGATAGCTTCCTCAGCCTTGGATGTCTCCATATGAATACTCTCATCCATGGTCAGATTTAGGACTCCCTCTCACAAACTTACCTGTTTGTGGTCCCCTGCTCACTGAGTCTTTGGCTTTTAAGGCCTTTTCTCTCTCATAAAATCGGCCCTACTCCCTCTTTAGTCACAGAGGGGGAGGGTCATCACAAGACCGACTGAGGCTGATATATTTTAATGTACATTTCAGATCGAATTTTGACCTTGAAATTATTACATAGACTTTGGGTTGTGAGGTTGGCTTTCTCTAAAGACTAAAAAAACAGCAAACAAAACCAGCATTTGTTATTTTGGAAAACTCATTATTTTTAGGCTTATCTTATAATTTTGGTGGCCTGAGTTGTGGTGGTTTTTTTTGAATGCTAAAAGTCTGCAGTACTGTGATTTATATTCTGAACTGTTGCAGTTTCACTGCCCTCCTAGGGCTAGCTCACACTTTCTGGCACAGCTCCCAGAAGAAAAGTTTCTGCTGAAGCTTTTGAAAAGCCATCAGGAGGCAGCTGCAGTGTAGCAGTACAAGTATGGCAGAGGTTGAGGCAAGCAGCCCGCACCACCAGGGTTACGGACTAAGGGAAACGAGTTGTTCTTGAGGCTTGGGAAAACCAACTTTTGGCTGCAGAACTACAGAATGAGGAAGGCACTCTGGAACACAATCTGTGCTGGCCTTTACATTAGCACCATCAAAGGAGATTGAGAACTTCCCCTTCATCACTCTGGGAGTGTCTACACTTCACCTGGAGCTTGAAATAAGCTACACATTTTGAAATTTGGTGCTGTCTACACAGCACTTATTTTTAAATAAATTGCTATTCCAAAATGTTCCTTACTCCTCATGGAAAGAGGTTTACAGGGAAGTTGGAATAGCGAGCCTGTTATATTTTGAAATAATGAGCATGCTCAAAAGACATGGAATACCTCCAGTATCCCAAAATAGCACTGCAGTGTAGACGTAGCCACTGTGGGCAATAACATACCTGCTTGTCAGCAGGGTACTAGCTTAAAATCAGAAAATCTACTATGAGAGCTAATGTCAGGGAGGGATCACCAGTATAAAAATAAACTAATTCAGGGATGTTTTATGATCTGTGCTATATAGGAAGTGAGACAAGATTATCACAATAGTCCCTTTTGGCTTTATAATCTATGAAAGTATAATTTTAATCTTCTAAACACTTTACTGAATAACTAATACCTATTAGTATTATGCAGACATGAATTTTATCTACTTACATCCTTAATCACAAAACCCCAACACAACAGAAACTATCAAAATCTGCTACTGAGTGCCCCTCTCAATTTTTGTGGCTAGGGAAGGAATGAGCATGTGCTGGCCCTGAGAACTCCCCTTCTTTGGGAGGGGGAAGAAAGAATGTACAGCCTCCCAGACACTGGCAGCTTCAACCTACAAGGAAACACTATACCTGCATGCCCACCCACTCCCTCCCTCCCTCCTCTGCTAATGTCCATATGACTGTGTTTCTGCTTTCCCTTCTACAAACCCAGAAACTAGTAGGCAAGGGCAGAGCAACAGCAGATTTGTAAGAATGGTGCTTCCATGCTGATGAATGACAACAGGAATGTAATACAGGGATGAGACAATCAATTGAGATACAGAAGTGGGTGTAAATGGCAACTTTGTTAAATATATTGGTTTCTTTTCCAAAACAATGTACATACAGTTGGCTGTCTATCACAGAATTTTGATTTTCAATTATAAGACTTACCAATAGCAACTACACTAATGTACTTTTAGTAGACAAACACTAATTTACAGCTGTATGGAGGTGAAGGTTTTGGAGATATTAAATCAACAATCTGCTTTTTATATATATCTAAAGGAATCAGTTACTGAATATATTTTGCTATTGGGAATTGAACCCAGGGTCTCCTCTTTCATTTCTTACTAGTTATTTTGTTCAGGCGAAGAATTTGAGTTATGGGAAGAAGATACTTACACACTGGCATCTTGTGACCAAAGATGACTCCTTATGGTTTAAGTCCAGGGCACTGTTCCCAGGACATTTTTTCTAAAGCAGAAACCAAAGTGTCATTACATCCTTCTTTCTCAGGTGCTTGAGTGTCTCTAATCCCCAAAAGCTCCAGTACTTCTGAATAATAAATTGGCTTCATTAGTGCTTATCTTGTTTCTATCATTTTTTACTTATTTATTGTTTTTCCCTTCCACATGATTTCCGGAGGATTTTTCTCCTAATTTTCTCTTCTTTTTTCTCCACCATCCTATTTCTTTTGCTTCTTTTTTTCCCTTTTCTGTTGTCTATAAGTACTTCTTAATCCATGGTTTCTCTTCTCCATTTATTGTTTCCTTTCCATTTCTCTTTATACTCCCTTGATCCTTTCTTTTCAACTTCCTGTTATTTCTATTTTCCTTCTCTTTTCCCCTCTTTTAGGTCTCTTCTTCTCCTCCTCTTTTGCCTTCTCTACTTTATTTGCCCTATCTCTGGATGAGACAAGTGGAAATTGTAATTAATACGATCCATCAATAGGAATCATTACCCCTCAAACCAACTCACAGCTCTCTCCTTTTCTTTGGTCAGGTCTTTATCCCTGTGCAATCTGAAAAAGTGCTGTGATGGTGAGCACAGAAGTGTGTTTAGTCACTAATGTTAGAGATGGCTTTGTATGTGGGGGTGTAGCAGGCAGGGAGCCTGCCCAAGGGTCCCATTGGTCTGCTGGCTGGGAGCTGCTTAGGATAAGCGCCTTTCAGTCACAGCCTGCACCTGACACCCCACCCATCCTGCAACCCAACTCTCAGCATCAGATCACAATCCAAATACTCTGCATCCCCTCCTGCATCCCAGCCCCTGCTCACAACTGCCCCCGCCCCTGCAGCCCCTTCTAGGTTCCTCCCCCTAGTATGAATCCTCTTCTGCACCCATACTCACTACCAGAACCTGCATCCCTCCTGGAACCTGCATCTCCTGCACCGCAATCTCCTGCCCTAAGACACAATCCTGTCCTTTACCCAAACTCCCTCCCAGACCCCACACTCCTCTTTCCCCCGCACTCCCATTCCCCTACCCTGAGCTCCCTTCCACACTCAACCTCCATTTCAGACACCACATTCTCCATTAATGTCATAGAAGAATGCAGCCCTTAACCACTTACCAAATTCTTGGAGTGCCGCCTGCCTATCAAAAATGATTGTGCACCGCAAGCATAGAACCATTTTCCAGATGGGATAGCTGAAGAACAAAGACTATCAGTGACTTGCCTAAAGATGACATCATGAGCCAAGAACAGAATCCTGACCTCAAGGTGATAGACCATATTGTATCTGTTAGGCCACTTTCCTTGTTGCCCAGGGTATGTCTATACTACCACCCTACTTCGAACTACGGTGGTAGTGTAGACATACCCCCACTGAGTACAGCTGTCTGTACCAGAATGTAAACTACTCAGATGTGTAGGGCATCACAAAATTTGAGGCACCAAATTGCCCCAAATTTTGCAGTGCTCTATCAGCTGCATGCTCATATTAGCTCCAGTGGCCAGTCCCATCCCCTGTCCAGCCAACTCCCTGTGGGTTATGCACTTACCAGGCATTGGCAACCAGCGTGAGCTTACAGAATGGAGGAGCCAGGAGTGGCGGGTGGTGGCACTACTTGCCAGAGAAAAGTGACACTTCCCCTTCTGCGGGAAACCACCACTTCTCTGCAGCTGGAGGCACAGACATCCACTGCTCCTCAGTCCTCCAGCCTACAAGTTCACGCTGCCTACCACCACCCATGCCTTCTGCCTGCTTCTCTGAGGCTGCAGGTGAGCCTCCCTGCTTTGCAGTGTTTCTGTGCCCCACGGCTTCTGCCTTCACTGCTCCCCAGAGAGGGGCCAGGTCTGCCCCCCATGAAACAGCCCCCTATGGGTGTGTGTGCAGGTGCTGGGCTGTGTAGGACACCAGCATTGTTAGGGATGACCCTGTCACTTAGCTTCAAATACGTGTAAATAAGCAAAATATGAAACTGGGCTAAAGATGCTCTTGTCTATCTTTATAAAGTGTCTTGAGATCAATGCAAGTACAAGCATTATAAGAATGAAAAGCCTTGTCATGAGCCAAATTTTTTCACTTGGGGTAACGACATAGCTATTCAGTGGCTTGACTGGGAAGCTTTATGTCTTTGTGTGATAGACACTAATTTAGAAATGTGGTTGTATTCTTGATGCTGACACTTAGTTTGCAACTTTTTAGAACTGTTTTTTAAACCAGCTTCTTTTCACAGTGAAATTTGGCCGTGCTGTACATGGAAGAATAGACGATTTAGCTGTATAATAAACATTAAATGTAGCTATCTTTCGAATTATTCAGCCAGAATTTCTTGCTAGAAATTGTTTGGTTATTTGTTATTCAGTATTTGTATTCTAGTCTGTATATGTTCATATAACACAGTTATGGGATCTGAACACTTTCTAGTGGTACATTAAAGTAACATCACTAATATCTGTCAGATGTGATTTGTTTTTGCTCTCATCATCTCCCCAGAAGGAAAGTTATGTGTGCAGCAGAGTGCTTTGGGTTTTTAGGTTGTTTTGGGCATTTATGTGCATATTCTCTGTGTCTACATTATATAAGGCAAGGTCACAAAAATGTGATTTGGAGTGGGTACAGAAAGTGAGCAGGTTGTGATGGTTGTTGGTTCCTGTAAGATTTTATTCCACAGGCCTATTTGTTTTCTGTGAGGCCTACAGAAACCTTGACAAATCTAGGATACTGGTATGCTGAGATGACTTTCTATTGAGCTGACCAATACTGTCTCATTGTTTCCTTGTACTACCTTTTAAGTTTGTCTATATCAATGATCCCCAACGTGGTGCCCGTGGGCACCATGGCATTTGCTGGGGCATTTATGTGTGCCCGCCGAACGATCTGGGCTGGCCCCGTCCCTGGCGCACGGCGCATGAGTGGTGCCAGCCCTGGGCGCATGGCGCATGAGTGGCCCTGCCCCCGGCCACACAGCACATGTGTGGTGCCGGCCCCGGGCACGTGGCACATGTACAGCCCCGCCTCCAGATGTGCGGCGCATGAGCGGCCCCGCCCCCGGGCACCCGGCAAATCCAAAAGGTTGGGGACCACTGGTCTATATCCCTCTTGTCTCCTGTCTAAGATTTGGATTGTAAACTTACTGGGGCTAGGAATATCTTCTTTGTTCTGATTACTCTCAGCACCTACCACAATGGGGTTTTAGCTGGTATACTAAAACAAATAATAAATAATAATTTGCCATTGTTTATTAACTTAATTCACCCAATGATGGGCAGAAACACTCCTGTGTGATTAGGTGACCGCACTCAGACACCACAAACAGCAAATTGGTTGAAATGAATAAGTTCGCAAATCACCTTTGCTGGCATTTATTTGTCTAAAGTATTTAGGAAATACTTTAGAATATTGAACACATTTTATCAGGATCAGTTTGTAAACAGTTATTTACCAGAAAAAATGTTATATTCTCAGCAATTACCAATAGCAAGAAATAATTCAAATATTTATTGCAGCACTGAAACTGAACAACAGGCCTCTGGTTTACTTTCAACATTGCACATATGGATAGAAAGCTAATTGCTGTACTGAATAATACATGTTTCTATATATTTAGAATAAAAATAGCAATTATTTTCATGCATAACCTCTTTGGCTTCTTTGTATTTCATATAATTAATTAATTATATATATATATATGTATATATATATATCTCAAATCCACCAACAGAAAATGTTTCTCTAGTCATTACTATTCATTAATTATTCATAGTAGAAACCAAAATTGCCACACTTGCCATGAAGAATAAAAAACTTGTATGAACAATACTAAAAGTGTTCTTTTCCCAATTTACACAAGAAACAATCTACATTTTGAATGCATAAACAGTTTATGAACACCATATCATTGAATTCATTACCATCAGCATATTAAAGTAATGAATAACAGAAACCCGTAACTAGCTAAAATAAAATTATAAAAAAGAAATGTTATAGATCTATGCTAGCCTCAGATCAGTTGTACTCTGACTGCAGTGGTTATCTAAATATTTAGCTGGCTTTAATAAATAAACCATAAGACCAATTCCACATCAGCAATCTATACTGTGCTCTTTTTTTAAACCCTTCTGATGTGACTGAAGGAAATAGAGAAAGCTTAATATGAAATCTATTAAGCAACAGTGGAAATATGTTCCTATTCCATAGAACTTTAAAAAATCACTCAGAGAAAAAATAGTTCTCTTAAAACAGGGTGGAATAATTTAAATCAAGGCAATTGAAATCACCAATGAAAAGTTTTGAGTTAAATCATCAGTTTTAATCAAAGTTAAAGTCATTGATTTTAACTATTAAAACATGTTAATTTACAACTAAATAGAGCCTTTATGCTAAATTTAGTACATCTTATAGCTAGCAGAAGGGTAAATATAACTATGTACATTTATTTAAGAAATAATATAGATTAATACTTTCAGATTCTTAATAGTTATACATTTTAGTATGTTAGAAAATGGTGATTGATATATGACTTATTTTCTACATGATTAACCTTTTGCTTGTGCTTTGTGTAAAGCTGTTTTAGGATGTCTACTGGATGTAATTAAACTCACAAAACAACATGTAAAATTCATTTTTTTAAAACAAAACAACCTTAAATGTTTTGACATCTAAACTTCTCTTATGAAATGTGTTTTGCATTTCCAAGTAAATGACTTCGTAAAGAAACAGAGGGATTGATTGTAGTTGGTTAATTAAACTGATTTCAGGTCAGCTTTAGAAATTTTCAAATATGTCTAATGAAAATAACTAGAACTGAGTTACTATTTGCCATAGTCTCTTGAAAATGAGACAACTGTCTCCTATTTTACTTATCCTGTTCGTCAAACTTTTCAAATTAGTAGACCTCATAACACAGCAGCAGTTTCTTCAGCAATTAAGCATCTACAATGGTATTTGGTTTGAAAATGCTGGCAAGAAAACCAGGCGAAGTAAATGCATCATCCATGCACTTCTTTATTGCCTACGGTTTATTTTTATTGCGGGATATTTCTTCCTTTATCATCTCTTGACATTCTTTCCATATTTCAACAGCATCAACAATATAGCAGTAATCTTTCTGCAGTTTGTCCAATACTATGGAAATAGGTTTCAGAATATTCAGCTTATCATCCACATTTCTCTTTAGCCCAATGTTGACTATTTGCCTGTGATAGTCCATCTATTTTGTCATGATTTTCTTCAGAAACTGGCAGCAGAGTAGGCTAGTTTTTAATAAACATTTCAGAAGAATCAACTGCTTAATTCCATTGTACATCTTGGGGGAGATCTTGTTTGAATCCTCTCTTTAGTGAAGCTAAAGCAAAATGTTATGGAAGTACTGTATTTAAAATCTCTTGTATTTATTAATACAGTAGTGCTATCTATGTT